AGAAACAGATTAATGCAAGCCTGATAAGAACTTCCATTTCTTTTTCTTTTAAAAAAAGATTTACTTTTTTTTTGAATTTTTAAAAATATTTTATTATTTTTATTTAATGTGTATGCATGTATTGCCTGCATATAGGTAAATGCATCCGTGTCATGCAATACCCACAGAGGACAGAAGAGGCTGTCGGATCCCCGGAACTGGAGTTACAGAGAGTTGTTAGCTGCCACGTGGGTGCTAGGATTCAAACCTGGGTCTTCTGCAAGAACAACCAGTGTTCTTAACTGCTGAGCCATCTCTCCAGCCCTCCAAAAAAGATTTACTTATTTTTATTTACGTGTATGAGTGTTTGCCTACATGTATGTATGTGCACCATGTATATTCCTTGTGCCTGGAGAGACCAGAAGAAGGAGTTACAGACAGTTGTGAGTTGCTATGTGGGTGATGGAAGTCCAACCCAGGTCCTCTGCAAGTGCAGCGAGTGCTCTTAACATAGCTGAGTCATCTATCCAGCCCTGAGAACTTACATTTTCATGTTAATGGATCTAAAGTGGAATAAAAGAAGCAGTTAGAAAGCAGATGGTGATTTCCCCTTATCTGAACTGGTTCTAGAGAGATGGACTGATGACCCTAGGAGCAAAGGCCCTTTATTAACTCACATTGTAGCTAATTACTATGTTCACAACTATTTAATCAACACAAGAGGGCAATCAATTTTAATCTCCTGGCTAAGCAGGCTAGAAATTCTGGCCAAAAGTAATTTAGTACCCAGATTTCCAATTTCACAAAATTTGTCTTTTCATTTCAGAGTTCCTTTTGCAAGATCTTTGGGTCCTAAATGAACTCCCACCCAAGCAAAAACACTGTATGCCTTTAAGGCAGATGTCTCCAAGACCCAATTTATTACTTTTAAATATAAATTCATAATAAAATATCAGTTAGCCTGTTATGACTGATAGCTAATTTAAGGTCAAACCAATGTCTGGAGCAACCTTTAAAAAATAAGCCTGTTCAAGCTAGGGCTGTAGTTTAAGGTTAGAACACCCGCCAAGCATACACAAGGCCAGGAGCTTGATCCTCAGCACCATAAAAATGAAACAAAAAGCTCTTTACAAACAAGGATGGAAAATATGTCCAGAGAAATGTGGGCTTGCTAATGTAAACACCATTAAGTGTCCAGCGAAGGGGCTAAAAAACCCACCTACACATAATCGGTTTACTGTGACTTCCACAGACATGGCCTGGTGCTGGTGAGTGCGGAGCTCTCTGAGGGAGACATTTTCTTTTCTCTGACTATCCATTAATGACAAGTCTACTCCTTGCCAAAAGAACACCTGCTGTGGAGCAGGCTATGCTGGCAGAAGACCTGACTCCGAGAGCCCAGCCTGTCCGCAGTCGCAGTCCACAGCCTGCTTCAGAGATGGCTTCAGATTTTCAACAAATAAGTAAGACAAGGAAGAAAAAAGTCTGGCTGAGGAGAAACGCTTTCCACCAGCTTCTGGCAGTGAGGGCCATGCAAGAGCTCTTACACAAACACTAAGAAAACTGGGACACCCACTAGCTATCCTGTTTCTTTTCTTCATATTAGTGGGTCTTTAAAGCTAGAATGGTCCTCTAGCAAGCAGACAGGAAAACTTTTCAGTTCCCAAAGTCAGTGAGGTTAGAGTTCATCCACAATGACCATGGAACTCATGTCTTCAAAGAAGCTTTGTGTTGATCACACCACACTACTTCATTTTATTTTTTTTGAGACAGGGTCTTCTTGTAGCCCCGACTGGCCTGGAACTCACTATGTAGACCAGGCTGGCCCTGATCTCACAGAGATCCACCTGCCTCTGCCTGCTGGGATTAAAGGTGTGTGGCACCATGCCTGGCCCATACCACACTACTTTGGCAATGACTCATTGAACATTTTCAGTACCATGTCATTGCTCTGCTCATGGCCAGATAAATATTGCTGTCCAATGCGAAGGTATGGGGCTGGGAATGAGAGTCTTTGACAATCTCTTGGCGGCTAGAGAGGTGGCTCAGTTGTTAGGACTTCCCACTACTTTATCAGAAGCCTGAAGTTTGGATCCCAGCACCCACATCAGGTGACTCACAAATGCCTGTAGTTCCAACTCCAGCCTTCTGTCCTCTGTGGGCGTGCATGAACACACACGCACATGCACAAATAAGATAAAATAAAATAGATCTTTAAAAAAGAGAGAAAAATCTCTGGGTTCTCTAGTCTAAGCACCACTGTGTGTTTGTATGCTTTATCTGTAAGAGGTCAGGTCACTACTTCAGTCTGATTTTCCCCCAACACTGTTTCAGTTCTATCACCTATCCTTGTTAAAATACTAGAGAAGGGCTGGAGAGATGGCTCAGCAGTTAAGAGCACTGGCTGCTCTTGCAGAGGACCCAGATTTGTGCAACACAGAGGTTTTATCATACACATAAATAAAAATTAATTAAAAAATACTAGCGAGCAGGACTGAGTAAAGCTCCTATGAACCCACGGTCCCTAACCTCAGTGCTGCTCAGCAGAATCCTCATCTCTTCCTAAGTTCTCCACAGCACTGCTCAGTCTTTCTGATCCTACTCTTGCTCATTCCTATTTTCCCCAAAGCAGAGCTCGCTCTCTCTCTCTCTCTCGGCCTTTTTGAAACAGGGTCTCCCTGTAGCCCCAGCTGGCCTGGAACTCACTGTTTAGACCAGGCTGGCCTTGACCTCACAGAGATCCACCTGCCTCCACCTCCTGAGTGCTGGGACTAAAGGTGTACGCCACCATACTTGGCCCAGAACTCTCTTTAAACATAAAACCAACCACATCATTTCATGTTGAAAGCTTCAGTGGCCTCTCATTGTTCTGTGAGTCAAGTCTGCAACTCTTCTGGGCCTCTCGATGTGTGTCCTAGCCCTGGCCTTCCTCTCATAGACTTCAGCTCAGCCCTTGTCTTTGGTTTGGTATCCATGGTGGCTGCTGTTCAGCTCCTCACATGTGCCAGGTTTGTCTTTTCTGCCAATTATGGACTGAACGTTTGTGTCCTCACTTTGAATTTGGAGGTGGGGCCTATTATGTTTTGAGTTCATGTTTTGAACTCAGTTGGTGGGGTTCTGCTGGGGGGCTGTGGAACCTTAGGGAAGTAGAACTTAGCTGATAAAGGCAGGTCATGAGTGACAGGCCTCATGGATATAATCTAGCCCCTGGTTCTGGCCTTGTGTTCCAGTTCCTGGTCCACCAAGATGTGAAGAACATCTACCACATGCTCCTGCTGTCCTGAACTCTATCATTCCTTCCTTGCCAGGATGGACTGAAACCTGAAACTGAGCCCAATTTTTTTCTCTCTTGTTTCTGTTAGGTATTTAGGTCATAGTGATGAAAAAGGAACTAACAACGAGCATCAAAAGAAATAAAATTAAATGAAGTTATAAGGGTGGGCCCTAAGAAACATCAAATTGTGCTAGCTTGCCCCCATCCTTCCTACACACTGAGGAAAGCCTATTGGAGGGCACAAAACCTCCTCAACTGTCACAAAACAAGTCCCTGTTGTTAAAAACCATTCAGTCTCTGACTTTGTTATGGCAGCCAGAACAGACTAATACAGCTTGAGTCCTGCATGTGAGACTGCACTCTGTTGATACAGCCTGAGTCCTGCATGTGGGATCACCCTCTGCCAAGAGCCTTTTCCTCCTCCTTCGGTCATTTTGCCTCTTTCCTCCTTCTCACTTTTCAGTTCATATGCCTTCCAATGGAACTGTTCCAATGAAACAGCTCTGTCTTACTTTTCCCATCGCTATGACGGACACCTGACAAAAAGAACTTAAGGGAAGAAGGATTTATTGTATTTCACGGTTTAGTGGACACAGTCCGTCATGGAGGAGGCAGTGTCAGGAATGGCTCTCAGCTATGGCAGCAGGAGCATGAGGCAGCTGGTTACACAGAGACAGCATTTAGGAAACTGAGCTTGAGCCAGAAACTGGGTGGGCCAGAGCTCTCTAGTCCCATCTTATGGCTCTATGCCTGCCAGCTGGGCTCTATATCCAACATGTTCCATAACACCCCAGTACAGCACCACCAAATGGGGATCAGGTGTTCAAACACAGAAGCCTGTGAGGGACATTTCACATTCAAAGCCTGATAAGCTCTTTGAAGGGTCACTCATTACTGCTGTTCCACCAAACCAACAACACTTTCATCTTGGTCTTGTTGGGCGCTCTGTCACAGATGACACCGAGGTCCCTTCAGTTCCTCTGCCTTCTTTTTATTGGCTTCAATTCCAGTACTCTATTTATTTGTTTAAAAGATTTTCTTTTTTATTTATATGTATGTATATGTATTTGTATGTATATGGGTGTGGGTGTGGGTGCCTATGGAGGCCAGAAGTCAGAAGGAAGTGTCAGATCTCTTGAAGCTGAAGTTATGGGTGGTTGTAAGCCACCCGACATGGGTGCTGGGAACCTAACTTGGGTCCCCTAGATGAGAAGCAAATACTCTTAACTGCTGAGCCATCTCTCCAGCCCTCTTTCTTCTTGTAAGGTATTTATCTACTTCATCTAAAATCCTTCCTGAGTTGCTTACGGGTTAAAGATTTTCCCTCCTTGGGAAATCTCTCCAATTCTCGTAGGTTTAACTCTAACAGTGTGTCAATGACCCCCAAATCTAGATTAGACCTCTGAGGTAGACTTGAATATCCTCCCTCACGATCATCTCTAGGTGGACAGTCCACAGTCATTTCAAATTCGATACACTTATGAGAAAACTATTTTCCAATTCATATTAGCTTCTTTCGGAATCGCAGTGCACAGTGCCACCCTCTGAACAAGAAACCTGGGGTTATTCTGCACTCTTTCCTCTTCCTCATCCACTGCTCATTATTTCTCTCCCTCTGGACCTTAGGTACAAGAGATGAATTATTTGTAATCCTAGGTTCATGACACATTCTCATGACTACGTTGGTGCCTTTCCAATTACCAGATGTTCTCATGGATTCTTTCTCCCTGCAGCCAAAGTGACCTACCTTCCCATCTTTGAAGTGCTTTTTGAGCTGCTTCTGCATGGTGGTCAGCTTCTTGGACTGTACTCCACTGTAGGCCAGCAGCATGCCACCAAACTGCCTCTCGGTGATTCTCCCATCCACAGGGTCATGGCGTTCAAACTGGGAGGGAAACAGAAAGCATGTTCTTGGAGTCAAATGAAGTAAGCTGACATGGAAGGCAGAATGATAAACTGTGTTAGATGGCAGAAAGATGACAGCTGGGGCTGGATTTCAGAACTACAATTCTCAATAAACACTGAAGAAACTACTAAGAAATGGAAGAGTTAGGCTCTTACCTCAGATCTGCCATTAACTATGATTTCAGGAAAGTTGTCCAACTACTCGGCTTCCTCACAGATAAATCAGAACTGCTTATATGCACGTATGAAATTGTTACAATGAAACCCATAACTCTGAATAATTAATATGTGCTCATAATTTAAAAAATAACAAAACTTGGACTTGCTAAAGCCCTTCATAACCCTCAGAGGTGAAGCACATCCTTGAGAGAATAAAGCCAATTTGAAAGCTCTACACAAATTCATGCATCAGCAGTAAAAAGCATTCTGAGATCACCCATGGCCTTGCTTCTCAGAGAAGACTTAAAAACAATAACAAATTGCATCAATTATGTATATGCAAAATCAAATATTATTATACATTTAAGTCTTTAAGGATTTAAGAGTAATATATTTACAAGCTTTCTCCAAAATGGTAACTGAATGTTAGGTCATTAAGAAAGATTAGTGAAAAGATGCATTAAAAAAAAAAAAACACAGAGTATAGAATGTCTTCGTTAGACTTGCTCACCACAAAGCTACTGAAAAGTCATTAAATATATTTAAATATGCAGATGGAAAGGTTAAGCATAAAGGACCTTGAGCTAATCTAAAGGCTATAAGAAATTAAGATTTTCATTTAAAAACAGAGACAAGAAAGCTATTTTGGTCCCTGCTGCAGTGTTACTTATGTACATAAACACATAAATAACATAATGGCTAAACATAGGACTAGTAGCCAAGTAGAAAGCAAAGTGAGTTTTTTTTTCAATGGCTTTATTGGGATGTCAGCTACAGGAAAAAATTCAGAGCCCTATGTGGTAGGGCTAATTGTGTTCTTCTGAGAGGGGCATCCACAGAGGTCAGACGGGGCTAAGTAAGGCCACACCAACTAGCACTGTCTCAATGTCTTCTAGCTGCTCAGCACTTGTGCTTGTCGTTGTGGGGATCAGGAAAGAAGGAGGAAATCAGTTTGGCATCCTTAGGGACCTCTAGTAGGAAGGTAAGATACACAAGACTTGTAGTAAGAAAGGGAATAGCCAGGACTGAGTTCTTTCAATTCTTTTTTTATTTTTTAACTCCAGTTCCAGGAGTCTGACATACGCTTCTAGTCTTTTCGGACACCAAGAATGTATATAGTGCATATACATACACACAGCAAACATCCATACATATAAAACAAAAATAAATCATGAAAAGTAAAAACAATGCTGGGTATGGTGGTGCATGCCTTTAATTCCAGCACTCAGGAGGCAGAGGCAGGTGGATTCTGTGAGTTCCAGGCCAGCCTGGTCTATACAGAGAGACCAGGTCAGCTGGGGTTACAGGAAGACCTTGCCTCAAAAAGACAAAAAAGAAAAGAAAAACTACCACAAAAAAGGGGAGAAGGGTTCTCATATAGCCCAGGCTGGCCACAAGTTCACTACACAGCTAAGGATGACTTTGACTTGACCTCTCCTCCACTTCCACAAGTGCTAGATTACAGGTGTCCACCACCACAAGTGGTTTATGTAGTGCTGGGAACTAAACTCAAGGCTCTGTGTATGTGAGGCAGGCTCTCTACCAACTGAACTATATCCTGGCCTCCTCCAGACCTCTTGATGGTACAAAATTTCAGTCTAATAGAAGTGTGAAAAGAAGCTCTGTTCATAAACCATAGAGAAGGCCTTTTTTATGGGTACCAACTCACTTCTATCAGCAAAACAGAGTTCCTCATTCACTTCTACCAGATGCCACCAGGTAGTACACAAGGACCTCAGACTACAATTAGAAGATCCTCCTTTAGTTTTTCTAAAATTCTAACTTTCATTTGTCTATTATGTGCATGAGGATATTCCCTACATGTATGTAAGCGCGCCTGTATTGTGAAAAGCCCTCAAAGGTCAAAAGAGGGTATTGGATCCCCTGGACCTGGAGTTACAGTTAGCCACCATGTGGGTGCTGGGAATCAAACCTGGGTCCTCTGCAGGAGCAGCCAGTACTCTTAACCATGGACCACCTCTCCAGTCCTCTAAAAATATAAAACTTTTCATTAAGACAGTATAGTTGCTGGCAGTCCCAGCACTTGGGAAACTGGAGAAATAATAGTATAGTCATCCCTCAGTACCTGGGAAAGAGATGAATTTCAAGACTTCCTGATTATACCATCTAAGAAGTTCAAGTTCCTTATATAAAATGCACAGTATTTGCATATTACCCATGCATACCCTCCTGTATGCCTTTAATCCACACTATATTACTTGTGATACTTGACACTATGCAAATATAAATAGTTCTTAAACTGTATTGTTTAGGGAACAGTAATTGAAAAACCTGTACATACAAGGTGGGAGAGATGACCCAGTGGTTAAGAGCACTTGCAGCTCTTACAGAAGACCCAAGCTTGGCTCCCAGCATCCATGTCAGGCAGCTCAGTCACCTGTAACTCCAGCTCTAGGGATTCAATATCTTCTGGCTTCCATGGGCATCCCCACACATGTGCACATATTTACACACAGACACATATAAAAAATAAAAATCTGGAGCCAGGCATAGTGGCACACGCCTTTAATCCCAGCACTCGGGATGCTTTTATTCTTTTTTTATTTTTTAAATTTATTTATTATTTTTATTTTATGTGTACGTGTGTATTGCCTGCATGTAGGTAAGTGCACCTGTGTCATTCAATGCCTGCGGAGGACAGAAGAGACTGTCAGATCCCCTGGAACTGGAGTTACAGTTGTCAGCTGCCAAGTGGGTGCTGGTATTTGAACCTAAGTTCTTTCAGTTCTCCCTCAGTTGACTTGGTAGGTTGATACATGTCTTATTTCTTCACTTGTGAGACTATCAAAGTGTACAAGACACAAGAAGTACACTGTAATGGCAATCATTTATTGATCATGCGCCCAAACCAGGCAACTTATCTCTTTGTTCTTTCAGCTGATCCCAAACAGACCTAGGGAGCTCCATTTGCAAAGGAGAAACATGAGGTGACATTCAAAGACATGTGACCAAGCTGAGCTTATATCTCCCAGGTCTCAGTTCATCAGGGAGCCCAAGGTAGGAACTCAGGGCAGGAACCTGGAAGCAGGAGCTGAAGCACAGGCCATGGAGGAATGCTGCTTACTGGCTTGCTCCCCTGGCCCCTGCTCAGCCTGCTTTCTTATCCAACACAGGCCTACCTGCCCAGGGGTGGCACCACCCACAGTGGGCTGGGCCCTCCCACATCACTCAACAATCAAGAAAATGCCCCTCAGACATGGCCACAGGCCAGTCCAATGAAGGCAGTTCCCCAACTGAGGCTCCCTCAACCCAGGTGTGTCAAGTTGACACTAAAGCTATCCAGCACATGAGTCATATGTAAGTGAGAAGCAAAGCTATCTGCAAAGAAAGCAACATCATCAATATTAAGTGAAAGTCTTTTCAACTCAACCCTTTGATATTTCAAGTTTGTCACACACCTTCACTTCTATAGAGCTGATTAATTTCTGACAATACCAAACATTTTCAGGATTCAATTTGTTTGATTTATGACTCAATTTACCATCCCAAAACAAATTAGGAGACTGATAAAATTTTGCAACTTCATGCAATGTTTAAATCAGATTTTTAGCTGACTCATGATGGCTGAACCAGAGCAGATAGAGCTCATTTCAGGCTGATTCTAAAACAAAGCAGCCAGGCGTGGTGGCCCATGTCTTTAATCCCAGCACTTGGGAGGCAGAGGCAGGCGGATCTTTGTGAGTTCGAGGCCAGCCTGGTCTACATAGTGAGTTCCAGGACAGCTGGGGCTACAAGGAGACCCTGACTCAAAAAAGACAAACAACAATACACCCAAAGCAGCGACCCTTGCTCTCCAGGCCAGACTTTAAAGAAGTAGACCTTCCTCTCCCCTTATCTGGAGCTTTCCACTGCTGGGGGGCAATCTTACACATTACAGTCCCAACCCACAAGACGAACCTGATGTTATTTTTTTTTTTGGGGGGGGACTTCACTATGCAGTCCTGGCTGGCCTGGAACTCGCTAGGTAGACCAGGCTGGCCTTGATCTCACAGAGCTCCACCTACCTCTACTATACCTGGCTTCCACTGTATATCTTAAATCCAGACAATCCTGTGGGTATATTCCCAGAGTACCGTATGCATACAATCAATCCTCAAGGTCAGGTAAGGGCCTTGAGAGAAGATACAAGTTATCATAAAATTATCACAGTGTAGAAAATGGTAATTGCTATTTAGAGCTATCTGAATCACTGGCTTGTAGTTTACTCAGCAAACACATGATCCACTTAGGTTGGAACCTCTTATGTTCCACTTCAACGACAATTAAGAAATTTCTCCATTCTATCTGGTCCTGTGGCAAAGAATGTGTGTTGCAGCACATCACCCACCATCTGTGCAGCTTTTGTGTGTGTCAAAGGAAAGCCGAACAGCCCTTCCTTCTGCGGTCACTGCCATATTCTCAAATGGATACAAACTGTTGTCTCCCTGTTGATCCCCAGGGGGCTGCAGGGCAGACAGAGAAGGGCCAGAAAGAAGAACCAAAAAACCGTCTCTAAGATCGTCCCTGGCTTTGTATCCACACTGCACCTCTCATTCCTGCCCTTGCCCCTTGTTGAGAGAAGGAATAGCCTTGAGGAAGGACATAGATCCGTGCGCATCTATATGAAATGATCTGAGGAAGATGAAAAGCCGGGGAGAGAGTGTGTATTATGAAGAAGAGCCAAAAGAAGATCATGTCAAAAAATAGCAAAATGAGAAAGAAATCAGTATTTGCAAGTGGGTCACCACTTATCGAAGACTTTTGGAATTAATGCAGTCCAAGAAATATAAACCTCAATCTTGCTCTCTTTCACACAATTAC